CAGTTATACGATTCCGAAACGGATCTAGCGCGAGTTTGTTGCGCATTTATACGACGTGTTCTTGAAACCTTATACGCGATTTCGGGTATTATTCATGCGTTATAGCGCTGTGTCGGTCGTGGCAGGGCTGAGTCGTTTCCGCGGCGCATTTAGTGACGCAAACCGAATTGCGTTTAACGCGTATCCCCGATCGCTGGGATTCCCGGCGAAAGGTAAGATTGCGTAATCCGCGAAGCGCGAGCGATCGTGTGCGCGGATCTTCTATTGTGAGTGCGTGGAAGCGTGTATGTGAGCGTTTGAACGTTTAAGAATAAACATTATAAACATTTAAAAGAGCAAAGTCTAATTCTTTTGCGGACCTCACAAAAGTCGCGTGCGCTCACATTCCGAACTCATAAAACGAGAATATCGTCAACTGCCGCCAACCAGAAGGAAGGACGAGGATCCGGTAAACCTGGGCGGCTGATCCGAGGAAAACTACCTTCCCTGTTGAGGGTTAAACAGGGTGGCGACCGCAGTAAGTCTAACATTTACCTAAGACGAGAAGGGTAAGGCTCATTGTCGTTGTACGAACGTACTTAGGTCAGTCTCGTACTAGATAGAATATCTAAAGTAAAATTGGCACTTAGAGTCGGCATATCAAGAACCGTGCGGGCGTAGATAAGTGCGCTGACGAAAGGGGTCTTCGGGGGAAAAGGTCCGAAATGGTCATATTAAGAGGATTTATCTTTTCGTCGATTTCATAGAAACGGGCACTGATTCCGGTTACAAGTTCACACATTAATTTTTCCCTAGACGGTGATAAAGTGGCGTTGCCATCTCCGCGTATAGTATTTTCATTCGTTGAGCGAGGCTGTACTGCTTCTGCGACTGCGTATTGCGATAACAGACTGATCCGTCTCTCTGATTGGTCGCTTGAGATATTTCAAACTAAATTACGCATTCTGTGCGAACCGCGTTTAATCGCGAAGCCGAGAACGGCAGATGAAAGCGAGCAAGCGCGAGAGTCTGACGTGCGGTCGTGTCTCCTGTCTCGTGATTTTGCAAACGCGTATTAAACCGAAGACGAGGAGACGTCAAGTGTTGTCAATTCGCACCCTTCACAGGAAATTTTCCAAGCCTAGCCTAGCTTCTGGACCCAGAGATCCTCTCTGTTCGCCTTCCCCTCATCTTTCCCCAGGTCCCTTGTTCCTACTGACCGTCCAACGGTCCGACACGAGGATGACGATCATCAAGGCAGTCTGTGTCCTTCGGGGAAAGTCTGTTGAGGGGACCGTGCACTTCGAACAAGCGGTAAGTTCTAATCCTACCTACAGCAAATTTTCCCCAATCTCTATAATCTCTTCGCCGCGCGGGAGCGTGACAATTTTGTGCAACTTGTCGTGGTCAGATCAATCTCGCTATATCTTTCCATAAGATATCTCAACAGCATTTCTAAAAAAAATTATCCTATTCGTTTTCTTCTTACTCTAACATATAGTGTATGAGCTCGATCTGTATTGCAGGAAGGTTCAGAAACGGTAAAAGTGACCGGACAGATTTCCGACTTGCAGAAAGGCCTACACGCTTTTCATATTTATGACTTTGGCTACGACACCAACGGTACGTATATACGTCGTTGAGTCCAGATTTAAGGGCGAATTCACACCTCGATAGAAAAGCAGAAAGCAAAAACTATTAACTACCAACGGGCTTCTGCTTTTCTGTTTTCCGCTAACTATCACAATCAATAAAAGATCAAGAGACAGACAAGTTAACTTCCACTTAATATTGAATAACAAAAATATTTAATCATACACTAGTAAAATTTTATTTTAGTAATTTGTACAAGTGTGTCAAAATGCTCGCACTTTTCTTTGAAAACAAGTCAATATCTCACGTGAAATGAATATATATAGCTAAGAAATAAAAATAAAAGAAACATGGGCTAAATTAAAACTTTTTAAGGATAAGCTTGAAACATCGAGTACAATTTAATTTATTTTTCTTTAAAGGTGATGAGGGTGCTCATTTCAATCCATTGGGTAAAGATCATGGTGGTCCAGACCACGATGTGCTCCATGTTGGAGATTTAGAAAACGTAAAGGCCGGTACCGGCAGCATTGCAGAAGTTAACATCATCGATTCTATGATTCAGCTCAGCGGATCGCACAGTATTATCGGACGAACTCTCGTGGTAAATTAGATCGACTCGTAATAACTTGAACGCTATTAGATTGTCGAAATCACGAATCATTCCAATGAGATATTCTTCACTAACATTATAACTAATGAATTTATAAATGTAAATATAATTTGCATTTTTTAATAAACGTATGTATTTAGTATATTAAAATTAAACACTAATAACTTATCAGTGTGATGCACACGCGGTTGATTGATACTTGATTGTAAAATGAATGAAAATTTTCTAATATATTGTATGTGGTTAAAGTATTTCTCAATTGTTTTTGTGTTCGTCCCATTTGCATTAAAAATATTTATTTGTTTCCGCCAATTTCAGGTCCATGCTGATCCCGATGATTTGGGCCAGAGTGGCCACGAACTGTCAAAGATAACTGGCAATACTCATCTTGCCTGCGGTGTTATTGTCATTTCAAATTAAATCCATATACATGGGTGTGACGAGTTAATAGATATACTATTTTTCTTACTACTTGGTTTTCAATATACAGTCGTATCATACAAATGTCAGTTTTCTGTTGCGATACCATGCATATTGGATCGTCGAAGGATCGTGTGTAGGGAGGATTAAGTCCATATACTCATTTCGTATCAAAAAACACTTTAGTTTATTCACTGTTCTGTCAATTGTATGTATATTATGTAATTAATGTATGCAAATGAGCCCACCACATCGATTATACGGCACTCAACGGAGTGGCGCGGTCAGTCCGGGTCGCAAATCTGCGTTGTCGAGGGCTCGGCCTCGGTGGTGCGGCAGGTAAGGGTCGCAATCTCTGTTGTTGAGGACTCGGCCTCAATTTCGAGGACTCGTCCTCAGACGGCATGAAGACTCGGCTTCCTTGCCAGGGGGCTCGGCCTCCTACTGTGCGTGCGGCACGCTAGACCGGAACTCGCTACGCCGGCTGCGTCCGCTGCACGCGTATCCACGTCGCAAGTAGCGTTGTAACCGGAATCAGTGCCCGTTTCTATGAAATCGACAATATTATAATCCCTTTTGATATGACCATCGGACCTTTTTCCCCGAAGACCCCTTTCGTCAGCGCACTTATCGTACGCCCGCATGGTTCTTGATATGTCGACTATAAGTGCCAA